CATGGGTCATTGAGGGCTTCTTGTAAATCTGTTTTACTGCCTAATAACAGTAGGTATGTATGTCTGTATGTATTGTTTATGGCCTGGGCATAGCTGCCCTCTAATTTCATTTTTCAATTCATTTCAACAAAATTTTGTCAAGTTGAAAACTCCCTTTTCTATTAGTCCCTCCCCCTAAGTCTTTCTCCAATACTTTATTTTCAGTGGAAGGTGCACTGAACAACATTGAAGGGCGGTTTTTTTTTTTTTTTTTTGTAAGGCTACCCCCGTAGGAGCTGCTGGATAGGAAGGGTCCTCTATTCTTTGCCTCATCTTTTCCCAAAAAACTCAGCTCCTCTAACCCACCAGAATGAATGTAGAAACACACATCACAGGAAAGCACTGAAGGTAATACCATGTACCCAGCAGTAGTGCTATATCAAGGAAAACAATCAGCAAACCAGGTAGTAAAGGGGAACCTTGTCACCCAATCCGGGTGGTAACTAGGCAACCATGAAATGGGTTACCAATGGTAAGAACACAGTTTAGCACACAAAGTGATTACCAGTAAGGACTAGGCATAAAACACAACATTTGACATCCAGATCAGCATAAACAGTAGCAAGGCCACCTCAAGTGCAATTCCTAGAGTCCGGTGTGTAGATGGCCTCAGCCACCACCCTGCCCTTCTGATGCATTTTGCCATGCCCACCAGGGCTTGATCACAGAGGCGCCCCAGTGGGCGGGGGCAAAACGCGTAAAAGGGCCTGGCCGGAGCGGCGGCTGTGGCCATCTACACACTGGACTCCATGGACTGGTCTGAGGGACATTCATTCCTTGACTGCACACAAGTCACTGAAACAACTCACGGACACTGCTCCCTCTTCCTCTTTCAATGCCGGGGGGGGGGGATGATCTCATTCTTGCTTCCTATCTTGGAGCAGTGCCACAAGCTCTTCTATACAAGGCCACCTCAAGTGCAGCAGTAGTAAAGTTTAATCTACCAAGTGCTGGAACTATACTGCCAAAACGCATTTATGGTGGCGATGCTACTCCTAGACTGGCTGGGTATGCACTCTCAAATAGGAAAAGAGAATGGCAGCGGAGGGAGCAAGGACACAAATGGGACTTGCACAATAGTTATTAAGGAAGGGGCAGTCCTTTGAGATGTTCTTGTGTTGGCTATTGTTGGGGCCCGTTAGGAGAGTTGGTGCACTTAATGACAGTCCCAGTTAATTTTGCTGCAATTTTCAGCTAGTTACTTTTATATGTTTGACAAAAAAAGCCTCCACCATATTTAAAGCGGACCCTTGATCAACATATCCACTTTGCATCCTTCCTCGTGAATCTAAAAAAGTAATTCATTTTGTTTTTCATTTCTTTACCATTTATATTTCTTTGGTTCAGCTCACCTCCAGGCTAACCTCCTCACCTAAGCAAGAATGACGTCCCCTTCTCTCTGAAGCCGTCTGGGATATGCACATCACATATCCCAGAAAGCTACAGGAGCAGGAACACACAGTGGCTGGTAAGCAGAGCCACCGCACACCATTGGGGCCTGCATTGCCTGAGGCCAAAAGAGGTAGCCGGGTTCCCAATGATGATGAGAAGAAGATGGTGGTGTGGGACCCAGGCTGTAGTACTTAGGTGGGTCACAGCAGGACAACGCTGGATTTGCTAAGTATGTGAATCGAGGACAACCCAGCGTAATATATAAAGAGGGGGCGGGGCTGTGGGGTTGAAGTTCCACTTCAGCCCCTTGAATTTAGAAGCACTCTGGCTTTGTTTGCTACTTAGTCGCAGCTACTGTAGGTAAACCCCACAATATGGCCATATCTCTTCTACCAGCTGTTGCTCTTCTGGACCAGGGCCGGATGTAGCCTGTCTGATGTGGGGGTGCAGTAAAAAAAATTTCAGGGGGCAGAGGAAAGGGGTCTCTGCGTGCAGGGCAGAGGATAGGGGCAGCTGCTGGCAGGGCAGAGGACAGGGGTTGCTGCTGGCAGGGCAGAGATCAGGGGATGCTGCTGGCAGGGCAGAGGACAGGGGTCGCTGCTGGCAGTGCAGAGGATAGGGGTCACTGTTGGCAGGGCAGAGTACAAGGGTCGCTGCTGGAAGGGCAGAGGACAGGGCCAGCTGCTGGCAGGGCAGAGGACCGATATCACTGCTGGCAGGGAAGAGGACAGGGGTTGTTGCTGGCAGGGCAGAGGACAGGGGTCACAGCTGGCAGGGCAGAGGACAGGGGTTGCTGTTGGCAGGACAGAGGACAGGGGCAGCTGCTGGCAAGGCAGAGGACAGGAGTCATTGCTTGCAGGGTACAGGACAGGGGTCTCTGCTGGCAGGGCAGAGGACAGGGGTCACTGCTGGCAGGGAAGAGGACAGGGGTCGCTGCTGGCAGGGCAGAGGACAGAAGTCACTGCTGGCAGGGCAGAGGACAGGGGCAACTGTTGGCAAGGCAGAGGACAGGAGTCATTGCTGACAGGGTACAGGACAGGGGTCTCTGCTGGCAGGGCAGAGGACAGGGGTTACTGCTGGCAGGGAAGAGGACAGGGGTCGCTGCTGGCAGGGCAGAGGACAGGGGCAGCTGCTGACAGGGCAGAGGACAGGGGTCACTGCTGGGAGTGCAGTGGACAAGGGTCACTGCTGGGAGTGCAGTGGACAAGGGCACAGCTCCTTCTCCCATCCCTGCACTGCACACAGCCTGGGCACAGGCAACATAGCTCTTCCACCCCATACAACACTTAACTGAGATCAGTGCAGTGTCATTCAAGGACAGTACAGTGCAGGCTAGGGCGGTAAAGTATCAGATAAGGGTGATATAGTGTCAGATTAGGGTGGTATTGTGTCAATTTAGGGCAGCCTACCCCTGCACCCCCCTAGATCCGGCCATGTTCTGGACATATATTGGTGTTCCTTGATGGCCCGGTGTGAGCCTGGAGACGTAGAACACAGACGCTGCGAGCTCCGCCTGTCAATCATCCCTTTCCCAGCCCAGCTTTCATTATACATAAATGTCATCTGACCGTGACACCAGACTCCGTGAGACAAAATGCCAGGCTGCTCGGGTCTTACCAGCTGAAGAATAATTACTGGAGGTCATTAAATACCAGCAGAAGCCGATGAAGGGGGTTTGAAAATACAGCGAGCGTACTTTGGGGAAATAATATCCTCTGCTTATAATGACTTCTTACCTTGCTGAGAATCGTATATTATATTGCTGAGAATCGTATTGTTGGGATTACACCGCGTTATTAACGTATTAATGCGGCTTGTGGTGCTGCGATCAATTATACCCCGCAATAAAACAGCGCCCCTGGAGGATGGACATAAAAGGGGGCTGCACAGAGCAGTGAGGTCTACAGAGAGGATTTCAGGAGGGCTTCAACCATATTACATACTACAGACCATTGGCGTGATTTTCCCCGAAAACATCGTGTCTGGGAAGCCGGCACCATTCCAGCAGATGAACGAACATACATTTCTATTTGCACATCCTGGAAGCAGCATATTCATTACGGTCGATCTTTATGGAAGGAAAAGCCCAGTGTTACTGTACCTCTAAGTTGCAGTTTGCCGCCATTTTTCTCCAGTGGGCCGATCTTACATCACATTCAGACCTGTGTGCTAAAAACAACATGAAGATCAATACATTCATTACATAAAAACAATTCTTAGAAAAGAAGAAAATAAATGCAAACAATGACACTTAACTGATCCCATTAAAAATGCATTCAATATTTCTCAGATTGGGGTCTGGCTCCGCCCTTGTGGCCCCTCCTCCAGGCACCAGATGACCCGTCACACAAGGGGGCACTCAGGAGCCTTGTCTGCGAAAGCTGGCGGTGTAAACTTCAAGTGGGATGACGTTTTGTTTGCTCTTGGCACTTGGATCTGCGCTTGCTTTCCTTTCATGCTTACTTGATTTTTAGCCTTTATTCCATCTCAGTGCTGCTGATGTCCTGCAGACTCTTAGTAGCCACTTCCAGTCCATATGCACTCCAGTGATGGATGCATGACATTTCTCAGGTCCTGGTGGTGACAACAGTGGACCATTTGTGCGTTGCAACAGCTGCGTGTAGTCACCATCGAAAGCCTGTGTGACAGGGTGACAATGCAGAATCACACAACTGGGAGACAGTGACAGAGCGTTGTCACCCCCATAACAGGAGGTCCCTGAGCAAGGACCTGTGTGACACTTTAAAGGCTAACTTGACCTTCCTGAACATGTTACACACGTGTTTAAGGTCTAACATGTACCCTCTCCCCCCCAATTCCCCCCTCCCACATGGAAGAAAAATATATATGGAAATATATTTTTTAAATATTCTTCCCAAATATATTGACATATGTTTGAAATACTAAAAATTTTGCCCGTATTCAATATATTTCAAAATTTATATATATATACACACACACTGTATGTTGAAATGCGTATTTATTACAAAATAAAAAATATGAAAAATACATTTCAAATATACTGTATGTCTTTAAAAATACAAATCTACATTTTTGGAATGCATTTACAAATATATGTAAAAATATATGTTACAATTACTTTTTTATATAGTAACAAAATTTGAATAAAAATAAATAAATTATATATATATATATATATATATATATATATATATATATATTGAATACAGGCAAAATTGTAGTATTTCAAATATATGTCAATATATTTGGGAAGGATATTTTTAAAAATATATTTAAAATATATATTTCTTCCATGTGGGGTTAGAGTCCCTGTCAGGTTTTTATTACCATCGGTGTCCCTATTGGGAAGATTTCTGCATCACTTTCTGTCAGAGAAAAATATATATTTAAAATATATTTTTCTTCCATGTGGGAACCATTGCCTGGTCTATCCAAAACAACATAAAAAGTTTTAGCAGGAGTTGGGCTGCAAGGATAAAGATTGCAGATTTTGCCTTTCATGACCCAACCAGAATGTTGCTTTTTTTGCCAGCGATGGGAAATGTTCTGTCCTTCCCTGTCACTGATCATTTTATTGTCATTCCCAGGCATTGTCCGCGCCTCTAGCGTCTTCCCCATCCTCAGCACTATCCTACTGTTACTGGGCGGCCTGTGTGTTGGCGCCGGGCGGATTTATAATCGGAGGAATAACATCATACTCAGCGCCGGGATACTCTTCGTGGCAGCCGGTAAGCAACAAATCATACACAGAAAAAATGAGAGAAAAAAAAAAATCTGATATTTACTGACAATGAAGCGTTCCCACACACAAGGCATGCAGGTGTAACTGAAAATACCACATTCTGTGCCTAGAGGGCGCCACTGATGACTCCCTTCTGATCATTTCCTGGTTGCATTTCTGATCTGATAAACTCAAACAAATCATCAAGCATACACCAAGTATAACTAACAATCTGCTTTCTATTAAAAAAACAAACAAACAAATAAATAATATATATATATATATGTTTCAGAGTAGAATTATAATAAGGATGATGTTATGAGATAAGTAATAATGCAGATTATAGGTCCTGTTAAAGAAGTATTATCATAGAGGCCACCTTGTTCTCAGTAGAAATGTTCTTCTAATGCAGTGTTTCTCAACTCCAGTCCTCATGGACCCCCAACAGGTCATGTTTTCAGGATTTCCATTATTTTGCACAGGTGATTTGATCAGTTTCACTGCCTTAGTAATTACCACAGCTGTTTCATCTGAGGGAAATCCTGAAAACATGACCTGTTGGGGGTCCATGAGGACTGGAGTTGAGAAACACTGTTCTAATGTGATCCATTGGCCCTGAATCATTAAGGGGAAGGAAGCCCTTTTCATAGCATCGATTAAGCTGTGAAGAGGGTGAAACACGTTAGAAATCTCTACAGGTGGAGAACAGGAGATAAAGCCATCTTGTACTCATTTTATGAACATTCATGCAACAGGGAGACAGTGTCTGTGTGCAAACGGCCGCCATTTTGTTGGAGTCTACTAAAGCCTAACAAGCCGATCCTGTCTGTCTTGCACCAGTCTATTCAGATGCTGATCTGATGGATAGAGGTCTGGGGGGGGGGGGCATTTGAGTCGTACCATTTTCATTGTCGTTGGCTCCATTTTAAAGTGCCGTAAGTTCTCCTTCCTCTTAGTAAATCAGGGCCAATGGATTACACGAGAAGCAAAATCCCAACAACGTCTCAACATCTCTGCTGAGATCATAATGGCAGACAAGGTGGACAACGTCAATACTGGTTTATGTCCTTATTTCCATTGGAATGATAACTTCACCAAAAAAAGAGGTTAGTAGTAGTTGGCCACATCTTGTGCAACAAATCTAAGAAATGTGACTAAATACTACTAGCTATACTATAACCTGAATTATTGAGAACCTTCATACACATATTCATGGAAAAGGCCAAAGCAAAACGTAAGCTGATCTTCCAGATTTCAAACCGCTGATGCCATTACTATAGATCAGGGTTTCTCAGCCAGGGTTCCTCCAGAGGTTTCTTGGGGTTTCTTGAGCAATGAGCAACTTTTGCATAAGTTTCCACTGACACCACCTCTCTGTAAGGGGGTAATTATTACCAATGACCAGAAGTGTAGGGATCATTCTTCCCAATGACCACCACACTAATGTATCATGTGTTGTAGATACAGTTATTTTTAGCAGGGATTCCCCGAGACTGGCAAGTTATTTCAAGGGTTCCTCTGTGTTGAAAGGGTTGAGAAAGGCTGCTCTAGATAATGGTGGATCATTTCATCTCTCATAGCAGCTATTGGTGAATGTCTGCTTCTACATCCAACCACTGTCATTCTTCATTAGGTGTGAAGAGCAACCAGCATTTGATAACTAGTGAAAGCATCCATAAAGCTATGCCTTATATAAATTTTAGTTGCACTACTGTAATATAATGTTCTGTTCTTCTTGTAGGGCTCAGCAACATCATTGGCATCATCGTGTACATCTCCAGCAATGCAGGGGATCCCAGCGACAAGAAAGACGAGGATAAAAAAAACCAATACAACTACGGCTGGTCATTTTATTTCGGGGCCTTGTCCTTCATCGTGGCCGAGACTATAGGAGTATTGGCCGTAAATATTTACATCGAAAGGAACAAGGAGATCAGGTTTAAGTCGAAGAGAGAGTTTCTTAAGACCTCAACCTCTCCATATGCCAGGATGCCAAGCTACAGGTACCGTAGAAGAAGGTCGAGGTCCAGCTCTCGCTCCACAGAAGCTTCTCCATCTCGGGAGGTGTCCCCCGTTGGAATTAAATATGCCACAACCATTCCAATGGGTGAGATTTCTATGTACACACTTTCTAGGGAACCTTTGAAAATCACCACAGCGGCCAGTTTTAACCCAGACCCAGATGGCAATTTCATGCAAGTCCACAACTGTTTCCAGAAAGAACTGAAGGAAGGTCTTAACATCAATGTAGTTAATCGAAGGACCACCCCGGTTTGATCCTGGATTCTTTGTGCGATGAGGATTTTATATAAAAAAGAAAGTCACAAGTGGACATTCGTGGATGGATAACCATTCTGGTGCCACCAAACTCTAAAACAGTATTACATGAAAGTGCTGTTGCGTAAAGAAGAAGAAAGGGTAGGTCACGCTCAATACTTCCCCTACCTGGAAGACAGTTTCAGTGGATATGTGTACTCCTAACCAAATGTTTGTAGACTGTTCATTGTTCATTTCTTCCTTACAAAGTAAAAAGCTGTGCACTTTTTGGTTTCCTGTGTCATGAATAACACAGGAGATTCTAGTTAGAAGATGTATTGGTGACCAACACTTGGTTTCTGCTGGACACTGAAATATTTGGTAAAAAAGTAAGGGTGGAATTGCCCTCAACTGCTTTTTGCCAGAATAAGCCATGTTGAATTTGTATTGCCATCCCTGTTTTATTGTATTAGAAGCTCCAAAGCTAAACTACCACTATGGCCTCCACTTAACACTAGTGGTAGATAGAATGGAATTAACCATCATGAGTGGTCGACAGAATGGAAATAACCATCATGAGTGGTGGATAGAATGGAAATAACCATCATGAGTGGTCGATAGAATGGAAATAACCATCAAGAGCAGCTGATAGAATGGAAATAACCATCAAGAGCAGCTGATAGAATGGAAATAACCATCAAGAGTGGCTGAGAATGGAAATAACCATCAAGAGTGGTGGATAGAATGGAAATAACCATCAAGAGTGGTGGATAGAATGGAAATAACCATCAAGAGTGGTGGATGAATGGAAATAACCATCAAGAGTGGTGGATAGAATGGAAATAACCATCAAGAGTGGTGGATAGAATGGAAATAACCATCAAATGATAGAAATAATAACCATCAAGAGCAGCTGGTGAATGAAATAACCAAAGAGTGGAATAGAAAAATAACCATCAAGAGTGGCTGATAGAATGGAAATAACCATCAAGAGTGGTGATAGAATGGAAATAACCATCAAGAGTGGCTGATAGAATGGAAATAACCATCAAGAGTGGTGGATAGAATGGAAATAACCATCAAGAGTGGCTGATAGAATGGAAATAACCATCAAGACTGCATCGGAGCCGGGACAGTCTGCTTGCTGCACCCACTATTGTTAAAAATGATTTTGGTAAATTTACAGCGTGATGCACTGGGAAAAGGTTTTGCTGTCAACATATTAGCAATTGAGAACCCCAAAATGTTTCCTCCATGCTGGAGAGACTAGAGAGTCTTTACCTGTCTGGGTGGCCCATTGCAGACACTCTGGATTTTTGTTTAGCTGACTTGGTTTCCCTCTCTTCCCCGGTCGTGGTAGGAAATGGCACAGACTGGACTGCCGACCCAGCACTGCCTTTTGTATCTGTGTGACTGTTTGGAACTGTGACTGTTACATGAACAATGTTAAAACAAAATATGGGCCAATCTCATGCATGATCTCCAAATTGAAAACACAAACAATTTAAGGCCAAAATCACCAAAAACCAACAACAATGGAATAAAAATAACATTCGAGAAAAGAAAAAAAATTAAGTTTTACAAAAACAAAGTGAGATTTGCCCGTTTTGTCTCATATTAATGGTGGAAAGAAAGAAATAAGAATCGTGACAAAATAAAAAAGTCAAAGTACCAACAAGGGACAGATTTTATATAAGGAGAGTTAGGGCTCATTTACACTTGCTTCAACTTTAACACGCATTAAACCGTGTTAAAGATGCTTTTTTTTATGTGTTTTTGATGCTTCGATGATGCTTTTTTTGAGGCTTTAATGAAGTTTGGCAAATGCCCTGCGTGTGTCGATTTTCTATTTGTTTGCAAAGGGCCCAGTAAAACCTTGGCTCAGTGGTACCCCCACTCAGCAGATCCTCAGCTATCAAAGAACCAGCAAACACAAATGCTCCTGCGCTTGGGGATGGACTCGATGCTACAACCACATTAAGAATGTCCTGGAACATGCACACCTTGCTGCCCTCAAATGGACCGGGGGAATCCAAATATACTGAATGGGGAAAGAACAAAAAGAGGGCGCACAGGCCTAGTGCATTACCATAAAAAATGTTTAATAAAAAATAAAGTAGGTGTTGTACTCACAAACGACAATATAGTCAAGGCACATCATAGAAGAACAGCTGGATCAACACCGCGCTGAGTAACAGTCCACAATAGGGAGTTTAGACATCCAAAAGGCTGACGCGTTTCGAGGACTTGCCTCTTCCTCAGAGCCAACTCACTGAGGAAGAGGCAAGTCCTCGAAACGCGTCAGCCTTTTGGATGTCTAAACTCCCCTATTGTGGACTGTTACTCAGCGCGGTGTTGATCCAGCTGTTCTTCTATGATGTGCCTTGACTATATTGTCGTTTGTGAGTACAACACCTACTTTATTTTTTATTAAACATTTTTTATGGTAATGCCCCTGTGGATCCTCAGCTATCCCCTGCTCAGTAGTACCCCCATCTTTGTTGATCCCCACTCAATAGTACCCCCCAGCTTTGCTGATTCCCCACTCAGCAGTAACCCCCAGCTCTGCTGATCCCTGGCTCAACAGTAACCCCAGCTCTGCTGATCCCCACCCAGTAGTAACCCCAGCTTTGCTGATTGCCCAACTCAATAGTAACCCCTAGCTCTGCTGATCCCCTGCTCAGTAGTAACCCCCAGCTCTTCCGATCCCCCACTCAGTAGTAATCCCCAGCTCTGCCGATCCCCCACTCAATAGTAACCTCCAGCTCTGCTGATCCCCCACTCAGTAGTAACCCCCACCTCTGCTGATGCCCCGCTCAGTAGTAACCCCCAGCTCTGCCGATCCCCCACTCAGTAGTAATCCCCAGCTCTGCCGATCCCCCACTCAGTAGTAACCCCCAGCTCTGCCGATCCCCCACTCAGTAGTAACCCCCAGCTCTGCCGATCCCCCACTCAGTAGTAACCCCCAGCTCTGAAGCTCTGCTGATCCTCTGGTTTTCTGATTCTCCTCTCTCTCAGGTCTCCACTCCCCTCCACCTGCTATATTGCTCCCCACACTGCTCACCACATGTGACATCTGCTAGTTCCTCCTGCTCCGGTCCCCCAGCTCTGCAGATCCTCTGTCCCTCAGTCCTCTCTCTCTGGTCCCTGCTCACCTGCTATAGTGTTCCTGTGTTGCACACTATGTGTGCCGTCTGCTACTTGCTCCGCTTCAGTGAAGACCCTGCTCACCTTCCTGCTGCACACCATATATATATATATATATATATATATATATATATATATATATACACACACACACATACATATATATATACATACATGAACCGGAAGTGACTGCTGATGACATCTTTCCGGTTCACTTGTTGGTTTTCCCAGTGCATCCTGGGATATCTCATACCTGCAATACCTCCAAAACAAAGTAAAGCTAAAGCTGAATAAATGCCCCTCAAAAGGTGCTGTTAGCAAGCGTTGTCATAGACTTCTATGGTGGCTTTGAAGACTCTTTGAAGCAAAGCACACACAACAGTGTGGACAGGACTGTAATTTAACCATTTTATTTAATGACAGGAGCTTTGATTGGCATTCTTCAAAAAAAAATCATGTCCACTGCTACATTTTGAAGCAAGTCTAAGTGAGCCCTTATAGCCTGAAATTAGAGGGCATGGGTACCCTAAACAAATATGGGCAAATGCTAAATCAAAATCTTACATATCTGGCCTTGATTCACGCAATGTTTACTCATTTTTGTACTAGGACTTTTTTCAAGACTGTTCTAATATTATTGGTAGTTACCTATTGTAACAAGGTCTGTCCTCTATATATGGATCATTTGGATCAAAGGAGAATATAAGTATACTATATTATGGTTTCTGAAAAAGCTGTGGATCTCCATTCATACCAGATCTGTAGTGTGTCCTCTACAGGTAACTACCAAAACACAGGATCTCCTATATGTTTTTATCATTATGGTGACAACTCTACAATGAAGTGTCAAAAACAAGAACAGTACCCTTCTGTTTTATTTTTTTTTGATTAGGTGTTCTTTAGAACATGTTTGTCAACACTGGGACATCACTGTGCATCTAGGATTTTATTCCTACAGCCTCTGGAAGTCATCAAACTTCTTCATGATGGCTGTTATCCAAATTTACTCAGGAACTCAAAAGTTCTTGTCCCATCCATCTACTAAGTCCTTTGTTTTGGTAGTTGCTTGTGTTCCACTGTGAATCTTTGACTGTTAGAACCAACAAGCCCTACCCTGGTTGTGCAAATACTTTCAACAACTCCAAACACCAGATTTTATGGCATAGTGAAGAAGTGATGAGCCCCAGCAGCGGACACCACCCAACCATTTCCTTCAACGTTCCATTAATTAGTGCAATACTTCTAACAAGAAATTTAATAAACCTGACCTAGAGAAAACCAGCACCTGATCAGTGGTTTACAAGCCGGTTGGTTTTGCCCTTTTTTTTTAGGGCAGCAGTCTAGTAATTGAAGAACTTATAACTAAAGCATATCATAAAAGGCTAAAATCCAAAATATCATGATGAAAAAAAAAATATATACGCAAAAGTCTATTGTAAGATTTTATGCTATTAATCAATCGCTGTATATATAGAAGTCATTTTCTAAGACGCAAAATTTCAAATGAATATTGTGCTCAGTAGAAGAGCCTAGATTGTTTTCATTGTCTCTTTGCTTTTGTAGGAATTTTACAGTATTTGTATACAATGGTACTCTCAAATGATGCTTGATGAGATGATATGACCTGATTGTTGAAGGTTAGGATTCACTTGGTTTGCACCAGCTTATCTGGATACTTGGACTGATTATTTGGCAACTAGATATCTGGTGATACATGGCCAAAGCTCAAAGATCTGGCTGAACATCTGAATGGCGTGGGTCTCAAAAGAAGAATTAGATAACTGCTTACACAATCATTGCCCAACCCTTCTTTCCATCCATAGGATATCCAATGGGATGAAAGGTTGTAGGATATCCAATGGCATGAAAAGAAC